CGTAGTACGTCGTAGTTTCGTGCCGGCTGATTGGCCGGTCGTTTGACGATAATTAGGTCCCGCAGAACGAAATCTCGCCTGTTTCGCTGCCGGGGAAGAAGTGGCGGCCGGGTCCGCAAAATCAACAAAATAATGAGTAGTCACGGGTGTTTGTCGGCGGACGTAACGCGGTTCGCGGCTGATGAGGAGGGTCCTCGCTCGGCAGAGAATTACATGGACGTGTCGGTGGGCTGGGAGGGAAGGAGGGAGGATGAGTGAGTGAGCAGGGTGTGAGGGACAAACGACTAGCAGGTTGAAGAGGACAACCGCAATGAGTCGACGGCTAGTTAATGACTCTATGCACTTCATCCCTCTTCCAGCTCGGTGATTATCAAGGCGTATTCGTCGTCGCAAAATCCGACGAGCAAGTATCCCTAGCGATAACGAGGCTCGCATTTCTGCAATTAAAAAATGTAATTGTAATTATTATTTCGCGTCCTGCGTCTTTTCTTCCTCGACACGGCGAACCTGACTTCGTTCTGACTTCAGTTGCAAACATCAAACGATGTAGTTTCCTGGGGGTTTCTTGCAACGGAATCTTATTGAAAACAAGTGAAAGGTGGCAGCATTTTCGCTCGGAAAAGTGGAAATACCGCTGTTCGAGATCGTAAGAATGAATGTTTCATTTAAAGTTACATAAGAAAAAAATTAGTATCAATTCGAGACTCATATTCTCATATATGAGCATAAATATGAGCATAAATATATAATTTTATGTGGGAGTAAAACTTTTGTTCTTACATAAAGAAATTCTACGTAAAAGAAAATTGTATATAAAAGAAATTCCATCAAAAGTATTGTATTCTTTGTTATTCAAAAATAATTCCTATAAATTGAGAGGAAAAATATTCAATAGAATGAACGAATATCTTCAAACTAAAAATTGTATCAGTTTGAAGATATCGTTCATTTTATCCAATATTTTTAACATAAGTATGTTTTTAATGGAATTATATATAGACTCTTTCTTCATGTAAAAGCAAGATTTATTTTCATATAAAATTATATATTCTTGCATATATATGAGTGAATATCAGTCTTAACTAGAATAAATCAGATTCATTCTTCGGTTTCGAGTGAGATTATTCAATCAACGATTCAGAATATAGAGAATTTATATAGAGATTCGTTCGGGAAATTCATTTTATACGACAGGGAAAAATCACTCGAATCTGAGCGACTCAGCTGTGACTCACTTGTCATTTCAAGAAATTTAAAGAGCACGATATAAATCCAACCGTTTTAAGCATGGATTCATAAATATTCGCACCGCATCAGAGAAAGGCCGATAAATCTGAGGGTGATGAAGAAGAAAACGCACTTCCACTCCGGTCTGTAAAAATGCCTGCGTTGCTGTTTATAAACGCACTCTGAGAGAGACGTCGATAAGGCGGTCGGGATAGTGAGATGTAGAAACGGCTTCTCGAAATGGACGCTCGTTAATAGTGGGAGAGAAATAGATCGCCAGGAGAGCCCACGAAGCGCGGGTCGCACCCTCGCGCAAGATCGCCGGTTGTTTCACATGTGCCGCGTGGTGGTGCAACACGAAACTCACCGGAGAGAGAGAGAGAGAGGGAGAATCAGGGGGGGGAGGGGGGCGTGGAAAAGCGAAAACACGAGGAAAAGCACAGTGTACTGACAGTGGGCGGATGAGACACGTCGTGCCTTTGGTCGCTGTCGAGCGACCAGATTTTCCTCAGCCTGCGACCTCGAGAAATCGGCGGCTCTTCTAAAGTAAGCCGAGGCAGCAGAAGAAAAAACACCAGACACATGGCGAAAATTCGTGATGCCGTCACCGGAAGCTGAAATTCCGGAAAGTTACTGCGGACACGTGTGTGTCGTTCGCAGATCGCCGGTGCCTCAGCTCCCGTGCCATGTTTTTCGTCAGATGTCTAGTAGACAGATGGAAGGTTGCAATATTTCTTTTCGATGAGTCTCGCAATGCATCTCGTATCTGACAGGAAAATATATTTCTCGAGAATGACTGAGAAACGAATTCTCCCGTTGGACATGCGTTGCGAAACTCATCGTTAAAGAAAGGGTTGCAACCGTTAATCCGCCGACTGTCCCGTTAAAGATGTTGAAAGTAGTCGGTTCGTAAATTAATTTTCTCAGGAATTTTTCGAATTTTATCAGCATATTAATCAAAACGTTATCTACGCGCATGCAAAATTAGAAAAAAGATTGACCATACCGAAGCTGAGATAATTGAAATCAAGTTAGTTCTGTTTACATATATCACGTACGAAAACGACTCCCGATATCACGTTTTTAATTTTAGCGATCAAATTAGCGTTCTCTCAACCTGATTTTAACCTGGAAATAATCACCTTATCTTTTTTACGTAAACCTGGAGTTTTGTACCCCAATGATTTTTAACAAACTTATATTGTGAATAAGACGAGTCACAAACAGTTTTTGTTGCACAGATCTCTAAAATGAAAGGTAGGTATGGGTTCCCGATTAGTAAGAAAAAATCTATTGTAAATTTCGTTTTCTAACCGCTGGAGTCTGAAATGATCCCAGACGACTATTCCCGAGTTAATGAAAAACGAGAAGACGAACAAAAGAGACTTGTCGAAATATTGTATAAAAAAATTACAAGCTACCTAGTTTTCCAGTAATTGATACGTAAGTGCACAATTTCTGATAACGGTTGAAATATATGACAGCTAATCTGTAAAGGTTTGGCAATATTGTACGCGTTATACTTTCTTTTGTGTTTCCGATGTGCTTCTCAATATCTTTTTAAAGAAAAAATGAATAAATAATTATAAAAATCTATAATTGGTATATAAAAGTGTGAGAAGTCTAGAGAAAAATACGAAATGTGTGCTACCGTGGAAGAGGGAAGGGGGGGGGGGGTACATATATTCACAGACACATACCTAACACGGGCACTCTCAAACCAAAATATTACATGTCAAAGCGCGGAAAACGCTCGTTTCTTTTTGAGTTTGTAAACATCGTGTAAGTTTGACTGATATTCTTTATATGCTACAGCGTCAAACTTACGTATCATATAAATTATATTTATAAACATTTAACGCACAGATTTTTTGAGCATTAACCATTACCCATCTAACAGTATTCGTCACGGACCAATTACTTTAAGGAGAGCCAATAGCAAGGAAAAGACAATCGACCGTTTAACCGGATTGCAATTCAGCGTGTGACGACGAAGATGAAGAATTATCATTGCCTTGTCGCGCGCAATCTCCAATGGACTTTGCCCTCTTCTTCAACAAACTCCTGTCGCGATACACTTATTCCCCGAAGCGAGACACAACTGCGACAACTCGTCAACTATCATTCTCGCGCGATAGTCTTCGGGTATCCGCGTTTATCTCGAAGCGTGCTCGTAGAAGAAAACGGAGGAGAAGAAGAACAACGAGAGGGAGGAAGCGAGAGAGGGACACACATCTTCCCCCCCCTCCCCCGATACACCCACGTGCTTCCCTTCGTATTGCAGGAACGAGATGAAAGATTCGAAAGGGCCGAGGGTGGGAGTCAGGGACGGCTGGTGCTAGTTGAGTTGTCGAGCTGACACGCGTTCTCTCTCCTTGTTCGACCGTCGTTCCCGCGGGCTGCTCTCTCTTCGACCTTCCTTAGAGCCTCATGTTCCCTCTCTCCTTACGATCCTTCCCACCATAACCGATCGAGAACCGCCTCTCTTCCTCTCCCGCATCGTCCCTCTACTACCACTGTTCTCAGCGCGGAGCCTTCTCTTTCTCTTTTTTTCTCTCTCTCTCTCTCTCTTATCCCGATCCACACCGGAGGCGTTCATGCCGTCTTCCTTGATCTCACGTCGAATTTTCCTCCCCGCGTCTTCCTCTCCTCGGCGTGCCTATCTCTGTCGCACGCCCACCCGAGGGAGCAGACAACCGCAGCAGCCGCCCGACCTCTCTCCACCACGATCGTACTCTCTCCTGATGGTCGTGCCGGCGACGATGGTGGTGGTAGCGGCGATGGGGGTGGCGGAGGCGGAGGTGCCGGTGGTGGTGGATGGTGGTGGTGGTGGTGGTGGTGACGGTGGTGATGGTGGTGGTGGAGTCAGTACCGCCATACCCGTCAAAGCACAAACACCGTCACCGGGGTCCGGATACACGAGAGCCTCGTGCCTTTCCGGATCATCCAACCTCTTTTCCTCTTACTCTCTCTCTCTCTCTCTCTCTTTCTCACCTTCTATCTTTCTCTTTTGTCAACCCTCGTGCCCTCAGAAGAGATACGCGGCACGTATTGCGGGTCGGAGACCCACCACGGGACACCTGGAGTGCAATCCGATGCCGTTCCGAATTCCCCGGGGACAAGTGTCGCAAGCGTGTTAACTCGCCGAAGTCCGGCGGCTAGTGATCCTGAATTAACCGCGCCGCGGTGCCGAAGGGCCGCAGGTTCGCGTAGGACGGAGGTCAGGAATGCGATCGCGAGGACATTGGACGTGCCGTCAGCAGCAATCCGATTCGTTCGTCGACGGGGCGCGCCGCGGTCTCGGCTCGCGTGGACGGTGGACGTCGTGGCGAATTAATCGCGAGGATGGTGATCGCCCGGCCGAGCGGCCTTATCCGGTAGATCTGACGGGACGAGGGCACCACGACGACGGGGTCGTTCGCGCGGCGATAACACGCGTGATCGTGAGTTCGCGGCGCCGCCGGGATATTATCAGTGACCAATCGGCCCGCGTGGATTAACAGTGAATCACCGGCGGTCAGTGAAAGGAGCTCTTTCTCTCTCTCTCTTGTGCGGGTAGCGAATTGTCGTTCAGGTTCTCCGGATCCGACGGGCAACCGAAGACCGAGTGCGAAAGAGACGTTGAAGAAGCGGTCGAGGGAAACGCGCGGAAAACTCTCGATAAGACGCGATAAGAGACCGCCACCCGGGGCTGATCTCACCAGCGAGAAAACATTCCTGTACCACGCTAGAGAGCTCACCGTTCGGGAGCTCACAGAATTGCGTTCTCGCAGAAGCGCCAACGAGCCCACCGACGGCAGGCCACGCCGGTCTCCGCGTTCCGACGACGATGTAGATGTGGAGGGATCGGACGGTGCGCCGCACGAGCCAAGGTCGATCCACCTCGACAAGCTTAGCCGAGAACAAGCGACGAGCGGTCACATCTCGAGCGTCGAGCCGTCGTCTCTCGAGGACAAGAAGCGGACGAGCACGGATTATGTCTGCGGTTATCATCGGCCGTCGGTCTCATCGTCGGTGCCGCGGTGCAGCCCGCACGATCGAGCTACCTTGATCCTGGAGCAACCGGGCGACAGCTTCCTGGCGCAACACCTGGCCTTGGCAGCAGCAGCGACGGCGGCCGGTAAGATGCCGGAGAAGGAGGTCGCTTATCACCAGGAGGCGTTCTCCTTGTTGCCGCCACCACCACCGCCGCACCATCCGCACTCGGCCTTCTACGCCGCCTTCCATCCGCACCCCCATGCACCACCACCGCCGACCTTCCACCCGCACCACAGACCACCGCCGCCGCCGCATCCGACGCACTCGGTGGCCGCCGCGGCGGCAGCCTGGGAGCACCACGCCGCGGCCGCCGCGGCTTTCCACGCGCCGCCACCTCACCCGTGAGTTTTTACATTTCTCATTCGCTCGGAATGCCTTGAGCAGCCGTGAAGTCGAAAGTCGCGATGTATATCGAGGCCGCTCTACCGAGTTTTTGCTCTCAAGAGAGAGGATTTTTGCACGAGCTGTTGGAAGGAGGATAGTCTTTAAAGTATATCGAAACTCCGTTCCCATCGCGGCAATCGACCTTTGGGTTACGGAAAAGGCGGCCTTGTCGGCGCAACTGGGCTTTCCGTTGCTCGGAGATCAGACGAGAAACCGGGAGAGCTTCGGTAGGATGTTTCCACCCAGTCATTCACCCTCAATTGTCTCAGCCAAGCTTGGACGCAGTCCACACGCTCTTAGTGTTCGTGCAAGATTCATTTTGCAATCAATTTAGGTATCTCTCAGCAGTGAAATTTCCATCGATAAAAAGTGGACCGATAATGCCATGTTGGCACACACCGGCCCACAAATCGGATTTTTTCAGGACACCGCGTACGAAAGTTATTTGTCCTGAAGTGTTTTGATCGCTCCGATATCTGGAATTATAACGGCCCCGCTTAATTCCATAAATGTGCGGTTTCATTCGCAAGAAACTACATAATCAAATTATTTCTCCTCTTACATCGAGCCGTCATTTCCTCGCATAACTCAATTTTCAGCGTTCTCAGTTGTGACAGAGATATCATTTCTCTCTTGTCAACGAGTTTTTATTTCTTGTCGCCGAGTTTTCGTCTAATTTCTATTTAGACACAGAATTATTAGTCATAGAAAATGAGTTTTGTACAGAAGAAAATTCCGTTAGTATGGTTGAGTTTTTCGTTGCTTGGATGTTGGACAACAGTTTGTTTTTCATTTCTTCCTCTTATTTACCTCTTTTCTCGTTTTTTCGTTTCTCGAAATCGAGTTTTCATTTCTTGTCACCCGGTTTCATCTGGTCCCCCCCTGCTCAGCTGCAGCAGCTGAGACTCTTCTTCCGTATACGCGGTCGTACTACTGTAATTGTTCGTAATTGTGTTTACGCACATCGAGGAAAAATATTGATGCAGATACGCGATCGCGGTATATACGTATATGTACACATACACGGAATGGCCGGACAATTCGCACCTAATATTTTTACATGATATTAAACAAATCAAGATATTGCGCCTATACACGTACACACGGAAACACGGTTGTTTACATCGTATGGATGTATAGACGTCTACATTGAGAGAAATGACAGTTATTTTCGGCTCCCACCATAACCTGTTTATAGTTTTAATCACAAAAATAGTAGCAACAGCGTGTATAATAAGGTTATTATTACTAACACTGTAACAACACTTACTAGAAAGTTGGTTTTCCTGACTATAATTCTTTCATTACGATGATAGTTACAAATATCAAATATTTTCTCTCAGTGTACATATGTGTATATACATACATGTAACGAAGTTTATACATGTATGTTCTCTCTGTTTCAAGGGAGAAGGAAAGAGAGAGACCCGACGCGCACGGTGGAGATTGAGGATTAGAATTCCGCGTCTGATTTGACGTCATTTTTGCGCCAAGTGACAGGCCGTAATAATAACTCGCGGAATTTTCGATCAAACTTCGTTAATAATTAGCTCACTGCCGGGGCACGCGACGATCTCGACCGGCGACTCTACGCAAGCGGAAAGACATTAATTTATGCGTGCTTACCTACAATTTGCACGTACTGAAATATGAAATACAAGCGACACGGATCGGCTCAATTGTTGTTTGCGCAACAACGTGATGGAGACTAATAAAAGGCGCGTGATCAACTGGCCGCGATTTTATTTGTATCTGTATGCACGATGATTAACGATAATCACAACGCGGCGAACAATCGCGACGCTGAGCGCGGGAGGTGAGAAGCGTCAACGAGACGCCTCGAGTCGGCAAAGCGATCGGAAAAGATCGGTTGAATTATCGTGACATAACGAGCGTTTCCATCGAGAGAAACGGAATTTCTCGCTCTAAGAATCAAATTTGTCTCGTGCACGAGAAGAACAATTCCGTTGGTGTAACTGAATTTTCTGTTGCCCGGAAATCGGACGAAAATTCGAAGAAAATTGTAGGAACCGAAAGATTCCTGCAGGACTTTTCTATGCGAATATTTGATCGACCAACTCACACGTAATATCTTTATTCGTTTAATATATCGCGTAAAAATACTAAATGCGAGTTGTCCGGCCGTTCCCACATTCGCTTGTGTCTCACTATGCGGAAAAACACTAGCTTTTTCTGAAAGCGGAAAAATATATTTCCAGAATAAATTACCTAAGGGGGGGGGGGGCGCTATTCGATATACGAACCGTAAAAGACCCACCGCGTTTTTCGAACTTTGTCGGAGGATAGATTTCGACATTCTTTTTTTTTTTTTAAGATAACTTTACTGTGTGTGATAGCATTCGGTATTTTTTGCTCATTTGTATTCCGAAGGGCGCAACATTATTACAGCATTTCCAAGACTCGCTGAAGCGAGTAAAGTCCTCTCGTTTTTTGTGACATCTACAAACGACCGGCCAACAGGATTCTAGAGAGCGTCGTTTCTACGAGCTTGTAATTCCTCTTTTGAATGCCGTTGACCGTCTTAAGATGTCTCCGAAAAGGAAAGACAGTCACCCCGCGGTCGGACCTTGGAAGTGTCGCCGACACTTTCGGAACCTTTGAGCCGAACTTTTCGCAGGAAGTTGCAAACGTTTAAAAAACAATGCTGAGGGAATTCGTAAAATATTTCCTACCGGGCTCAGCCGGCTACGTCTCACAAATGTTCCCTCCTCCGGCATTCCCTTATTGTTCAATGTTCCGACGGAACGGCAGCCAATTCCTACGGCGCAACAGGTACAAACTACGTGCGGGGGGACTTCTTTTGTTCGAGTCGCGCGCGCCAGATCCGCATGTATCGAACGGGCGAAAGAAGTGCGCGCGCGCGGCGGAGAATCGCGTTACAGCACAGAACGGACGTTTAACGTCTTAATCGAGTTAATTAAGGTCCCTTCGCACGTTTTCACGTTCCACGAACACGTCACGCGATTGCACGCAACGAGATTACCTCGGCATGCCGGGGCTTGCGACCCGTACGTGGCTCCCGTACGTCGAAGCGGAGCGGCGAACGACGCAATAATTAAACGCTTCGACGCGGTCCGAACAAAGCTGCGATTTTCTCCCTTTCAGCGCTTCGTTTTCACCGTGGAATCGCGTCCGATTGATCGCGGAGAGAAAGAGGAAACACTGGCGTCTCGGTTATCCCCTATAAGGGTGCCTTTCTCGAAGCTTCGTGACTTTTAGATCACGGAATTTATTGAGAATGAAATTAGAAATCGCAAATTCTGCGTTCCGAGGCCGCAATTTTGCTGTACAATCCCGGCGTATAACACCGACGCGCTTCTTATATCGCTTGAAACTATCGGGAAATCATATTAGATGAATAATCTCTGACCGATGATTTTTATTCATTTAATATGATTTAAGAAATGTTTCTCAGTTCCAAGGGAATATTTATTTGAAGAAAAAACGTAACGCATTTAAAACAAAAAGGCAAATGTTAAACATTTTTTTAAGTATTTACTTCGATGAAAAGTAAAAAGAAGAGTCTTTTCACTTAACTTAAAAAAAAACGTCTCGAGTGGAATAAATTTATTATTTACCTCGAAAAAATGTTTTTAATGTCAGATAAATTCTTCATCAAAATATTAAATATCAATAAATAATTTGTCAGATGAAAAATTGTATAATCTTGTATGAAGATAAAACTCGCTCTTACGAAGAAATTCTATATAATCCCACTAAAAATGTCATATTCTTGTTATTCAAGAATAATTTTCATGAATTGAGAGAAAAATATTGGATAGAAAGAACGATATCTTCAAATTAAGAATTCAGTTGGAAAATATCGTTCTTCCTATTCCCTCAATATTTTTCCTCTGAATACATAAAAATTATTTTTGCATAACAAGAATACGATATTTTTAGTGGAACAGTATAGAATTTTTTATGTAAGCAAATTTTATCTTCGTACAAGATTAAACGTTCTTTATTTATGTACGAGAATATGAGTCTTGATTTACCACTAATTTTTTCGTATACATTAAAAGAATATATGCCAAAATTTGGTTTAACGTCCGAGCCCTCCTCGAGATCGGTTATGAAACGTAATCGAAACACCGCGTAATCCGCGCCGTGGAGCCACCGAACCGGCGGTTAATTAATAATGCACGAGTGAAGTGACAATTATGCAAAAAGTCGGCCCGCGCGCCAATGCCGCGCCGGACGACATGAATATTTTTAGCGGCTGGGAAAAAGGACGAGGCGCATTAAGAGCGTTGTAAAACTCGGCGCTGATTCTTCCAAGGCATTAAATCAGCCGGCAAAACGTAGCAGGTGTTCCGGGACGAGCAATCACCGGAGCTCCAGTATGTCGGTCCAATTAAGCATTTAATTGCAACAGTTGCCACCCTCTCGATCATCCGCAATATCGTATCAAGAAAAGGGCGCACCGGCCGACCGAGAGCGGCCAATAAATCCTCCGTCGGTCGACAATTTTATCGGGAGACGTGAAATTGCGCGGTCGCGCGTAGAATATCGATCTGTATAATTACAGCGATTATATTACACGCGGCCCGCGAGAATCCGCTGAATTTGCCCGCATGTAATAACGCGGAATTAAGAGGATACCGGCACGGGGAAGACACATCGCCAACGCGCGACATCCTCATAGGGGTGGCAGACGTCCTCGCGATTAGAGTCTTACATGTACTAAAGTAGAAATATATCTAGTTGATCTGAGTGAAAAGTTAGCACACGGTAAAAAAATTTTTGTTTAAAACGGTCCGTTGAAATTTAATGTTACTTTATGGGGAATAAGTTAAAAAATATACAAGTATGTGTTACAAAGTAGATATAATGTTAAATTAACGCTGTGTTGGCAATCGTGTGTTGACATTCCTCATGTTAAAATAACATGAAATTTTTGCGGACCGTTTGTAACACCAAATTTTTTACCGTG